CAACTTTTTACATCTTCAAAGTGTGTGTTTACCACTTGTCATTCGAGTAATTCGTATTTTTAGATAAGAAATGGAAAAATGCGGGCAATAAACGGATGGAGAAACAAGCAGTGGCAAGCGAAAACATTCATATCCATAAGCAGATGCGTATTTTTACATACATATGCCTGCGTACAAATAAAATCGAAATTGCCGAGAATTGGGAATTGGGAATTAATGACTATGCATCTCACTATGTAACATTAAAAGGAGTTTCATGTTTTACGTGATACGTAAAAACGCTGTAAACAATAGAAAGTGAAACAAAAAAATAATCAAATCTTGACGTAAGCTTATTTTATAAAATAGCGTTACGCTTGCGGCCGGTATGTTGCAGGTAGCTTCTGGCTTGGATTACCGCCCTGAACAAAAACTTGTCCCTTGAGAGAGCGATTCATTAGATAAGCACAATGGTAAATTGAACCACGAAAGTGTGGGTTAAGTAAATTACGATTACCATAAGCTCTGCATACTTACATACATACCTATGTACATACATTTGCATGTGAGTTGAATGCGCGGGTGTTACGCGGATCATTGAATCGAGAGTTCGAAATTTGAAACTCTGAAAACAAAAACACAAACAAAAAAGTTTAAGCATTTGTTGTTGGTACATGCGAGTACATGTACACAGTGCACAAAAACTGATGTATGGAATTTCAATAAAAATACATAAAAAAAATTATGTATAGTAAAATTTTTCTGTTTATGAACAGTTTTTTAAAGTAGGAACAGTTTCATATATGAGTAAAAGCTATCAAATATGACTTCAAAACGTTGTTAAGTCTTAATAAATCCTCCCAAAGAATAATTTTATGGTCTGGGAACAGTTTTTGATAGTGAGCACAGATTTTTAAGCCGCAGTAATTCACCAGGAAAAACGATTTTTTGATATTTGAAAATTTCTTCTCAACGAAAACTACAAAATATGTTTTACTTAGCAGTTTTAGTAGATATTTTATAAAAACCATGCTCATCTTTAATTTTTCTTTATAGAAGATATTTTTTAAACTTGAACAGCAGCAATTTAAATATCATTTGAATGCAACAATAAAGCACTCACGAATATTATTTATTAATGTGCATACGTGCGTACTCTCATACAAACATACAAATTTTTTCATAAATGAAATCCCTTCCAACAGTCATTATTATGAAAATGGCTTGGAGAATTTTTTCCACTCACACACAAACAAAACATTACCTTGGCGCCGCTAACAACAATAAAACGTGACTGACCAGCCCAATAGCAACTTAACAAAAATATTCGTTAAAGAGAAATCAAAGTAAAACCAAACATATAAATAAAAATAAATTGTCATATTAAGCATTAAAAACAGTAGAGCTTCTGCATTTCAATTTCGGTTCATAAATAAATCAAACTCGAACAAACTTTAGCATAATAATAACTAAAGGTAAATAAAAATGGTGTGTGAGTTTTGAGATTGAAATTTGTTTTAAATTTTTTTCCTTTGAGAACCTTTTGCTGTAAACATGTGCGAAATGTAAAAATGTTAAGCTTCAAACTAAAAACGTTTCAGCTAAAATTAATGCGAGCATTGATAGTTAGTTGTACGCTGGTTTGTGGGTTTGAAATAATAGTTATTTTTTTTTTAGCCCATAATCACTGTGCGCTCAATAAACTTTAATCCCGTACTTTTTTGTTACCACAAGAGGCATATCGATGTCAAAATAGATATAATTTGCACAAAATTTGTAGACGACAACAACAAATGTTGTAAAAGTTATTTCGGTGCTTTAAGTAAAACACATTTGAATAATTTGTGCGGAATTAATTGTTGTATGGCATTTTGCGAAAAAAAAGTATGATTGTAAATCAAGTGAATTTGTTATACATATATTTATTAACATTGAGTGCTTCACAAAGCATGAAAGACATTTTTTGTTTGAATTATATCAACAAGTAGTCTGTTATAAGAGCTCTCTTCTCGTATGGGCACCAATGAGTTCATCTATAAAAAATTTTTAACTTTGGGGATGAAGTGTATTTTTTAAAGACCTTTAGGTTCCCAGTTGGAAAATTAGGAGTAATTCTTAAGAAATGCTTCAGAAGGGGCTTTTCCAATAAGATCTTCTCAATGGAACTGTATTAGAATACATATATTTCAACAGGCCTGCCATTCGAACGCAGAAAATAAGGTGTGTTTCCAAAGCAACTGAAGTAAAATTTATTAAAGAATCGTAGTAGGCGTGACGGCGCATGTTTATGTATGTATTTCATGTACATTTTTCCAATCTTATAAAAGCATGCCATTGAGCATGGCTCTATGCTGATTACTGGATAACCAGCACTTCCGTTGGATATACACTGCTGGTATTGGGAAGTCAAAGGGAAGACCCTTGCCTAAGTTAAAGTGAGAAAACTTCTCCTTCGAATATCCTTTTAAGTTGGGAGCCTTCTCTCGTATTGGTATCATCCCTTTATAAAAAAAATAGTGGGCGTCTACAATAGTCGATAACCGCCTTTATTACCAAAATTTTTGTCATTCATTCTGACATCTCTCACTCTGGTTTCTTTTTGATTTATAGAGGCTTTTAAATACATATTTTCTAGGCCGTTGTTCAATGTTTGCTTACACAATTCCGTAAGCAGTTAGTTTGATAATGACCACTGTTCCGGTATAAAATTATGACCGTCATGCGATCCTTAACAATTTTAAATTAATGCTATAGTAAACGCTTTGATCTACTAGAAAAAAAGAAGTTAAAGTTTATATATTTATTTCTGGTTAGAAAATTCGAAAAATTCTATATTCGATAATTTTAAATATTAAGTGCTGTAATATTATAGCTATTTTGGAATTTTTGTGAGGAAGTGAGGGACTGTGCTTTCTATTCCCTTGTATTTAGGTACATTAGTATGTGTATTTTTATACAGACATATAAATGTATGTACGTACATATATGGACAATACAGCTCCACATATTCATCCAATTATGCATTTATGCGTCATTGGAGCTAAGTGTATTGTTCTCATCGCATGGCTTAGTTTTTATTCTATGACATCGTTGTCATCTCGATGGCATGGTAAACATATCGTATTGTAGTTTTTCATCATACAATAATAACAAATACAACAATAACAAATAAATAAAAACAATCCCACATATCGACTTCATATGCATATTCCCCGGAGGCGAATATGAGCTGCAGCTGTTGTGGTCTAAATAACCATGAGCTCCAACACACAAATTTTTATAAACAAAATACACGCTTATGTAGATACATATGTATTTATACTATACCTCTGTATACCCAGCAGCAATAAGGCGGCCAATTTTCCGAAAAGCACTAGTACCTCACCAGTTAAAATTTAACCCGTTTGAATTGGACATTTGCATCAAAAATGTTAGCTTACGACCAGTCCGNCATGGTAAACATATCGTATTGTAGTTTTTCATCATACAATAATAACAAATACAACAATAACAAATAAATAAAAACAATCCCACATATCGACTTCATATGCATATTCCCCTGAGGCGAATATGAGCTGCAGCTGTTGTGGTCTAAATAACCATGAGCTCCAACACACAAATTTTTATAAACAAAATACACCCTTATGTAGATACATATGTATTTATACTATTACCTCTGTATACCCTGCAGCAATAAGGCGGCCAATTTTCCGAAAAGCACCAATATCTCACCAGGTAAAATTTAACCCGTTTGAATTGGACATTGGTTTGCATCAAAAATGTTAGCTTACGACCAGTCCGTAAGGAACCTTTTTAGAAATAGACAAAAAATTAAACTTTCACAGTTTTGTACATACAGAGTGGTGTTGTATAGAAATTTTTATCGGTAATAAGTTCAGCTCAATAAAAAATGTCCAAGCAATACAACTCTGTGCATGTCAAAATGCACCAATCGCTCCAAGTGATGGTTTGAAAACACTTTTACATGTTGTGGCTGTAGCTGAGTGCGCAGAGATGCTTGCTGCTATTGGTTGTGCCGTCAGCACTGTACGAGTTCAAATCCCATTGACGGAACATATGTATAATTTTAAATTTTTGTTTTTCGGATTTTCTCAATTACGAAAAAGCATCCATGAAGTACACAACGAAATCGTATACAAACTAAAACAAAAATGTAAAACTGAAATGTAAATGGACTAGTCCAAAACCAAATAATAAAGAACAATTAACCACATATGACATCTTACGGTGAGTTGTTGGACCGGTGCTTTTCCAATTCACGCCAATGTTAAAAATGGCAGTTGAAACCACTAGCAGCGGAATTATGAGGGACTATCCGCGGGCTAACCTAGGGTGGGTCCGAATTGTTACCGGGTATAACCACATACGAGTTCACACACACACACAAAATAACTCGTCCTCGATATTATTGCTATTGTTGTTATTTGATATTATTGCAATTCAATTTGTCTAATGGACTTTTATGCTTTGTGGTCGGCCGGCGCGACGTTCGAAAAGCGGATATTTTTATATTAATTACCAGTTTTCATGGTTTGCTATAGCTAAATACAATAATGTTTTTTTTTCAACACTATTCGGCTTTCATGTACTTATGCATTTAATGGCAATTATTTCATATTCATGATTTTTTCAACAATCGTAGCGGCTGTTAGCTTAACTTCTGCAATAACCTAGCGCCAGAAAAAAAAAACTTTTCTAAAATACTATTAAGCTAATGACCGACTTTTATTTGTCACAAATTTTTATGGCCAATGTGTTTGGCTATGCATTTTTAATCACCACGCTTGTCAAATGTATGCGCCACCCAAGCTCTGCTTATGAGCAATCAACCATAGCCATCAAATATTCTAGTCACTCAATTAATTGTGTAATAAATTACATTTTATTGGCCTTAATATCACCGTTTTACCAAATTTTTCGTGTACATAATAATAAATTTTAATAATGATAATGTGTGTATGCACGCCAGTTTCACTAATTACTTTCTTCCTCTATTTTAGGTCCACTCTCAGAGGTGCAGACAGCCGTGGGTCTCGAGGTGGCGCTGCCATGTGACCTCATGCCCGGCACAATGATGGCCGATAAGGTGCAATTGGTCATTTGGTATCGACAGGGCAACATCAAGCCAGTTTATACGTAAGTAGAAAAGGATATTAATAAAAAATTAGTAATTTTATTAGTAAAACCTAATTGAAACAAGTCTGACATTCCTAGTAATAATGTGAAATATTGTTTTGGAAAACGAGGGTTTACAATACGGTTCTGTACTGTACACATGTACTAATGCAAGTTGTAATCAATTATTTAATGATTAATATAACAGAACTAAGCACTTTGGGTCATTGGATATAAAAGCTGTTGTGGAAATAGTAGTTAAATTCAATTCGCAACTCCTAATTATGTTCGAACTCTGCCATTTAAAAGCCTAAATCGACTAAGTAGCTAAAAAAAATTGTGACGCCTCTAATTTTCCCTCGAAAATAACAAGGGATAAGGGAATCTTACTGCGCCCAAATACATAATTACCCATACAAACCCCAAACCCCCTAAATTCAATTTTTTTTATAAAGCCATTGACAAAAAAAGTTAAAATTTATTGCTGTCTGACCAATTTACCTCAAATTCTGAAAATTTCCTTTCAAGGAATCCAAAAATATCTAATATTTCTAACCGAATAGATTAGTGTGAATGAAAGTAGTACTTATCTCAGGAGCAAATGGGTTAAAAACTTCCTCACGGCATATACAAAATTTTATAAAAAACAATTATAATTATCCTTTATGGATTTACATACGAGTACAAACATACATACGTACCAATATAGCTCATCGTTCGATTTCTTTTTGGTTCGAAGCTTGTGTCCTTCTATTAGACCAATACGAAGTTAGAACAGCAATAATTAAGCTTAAGAACAATAAGTTCCTTAGCATTTAGCAGCACGCAAAAAAATGCAGCTGCCTTTACGGCGCCATGCCTAAATTTATAATCCTAGCCACACTGTATTAGCCAGCTGTTGAACAGAAATTTGTGCTTCGTCAAAAGTGGCCAAAACCTCTTCGCGCCGTTTGCGGTTTCGGATAAGGAAACTCACTCTTCTGCTAATTCTTAAGTCTGATGGCAGCGGTACCGTATTTGGCAAAGCTCGTGTATGGAGATGGCATTGATATAGTCGATTTTCACACTAGATGGAGGCAAAATAGGATCGATAGCATAACACTTGGCTTGGTAGGCAATTGAGCAACAGAACATTCTCGTCATACAATAACCACCAGCTCGTATCATGCGTATACTTTTTTATGTCGCACAAATATAGATGAAGTCAATCAAAGATTAGAAAGCTTTGTGGGTTTCGAGAGAGCTTTCGTATAGACCCAGACTGATAAACGGTTTTATCCCCAAATAAGAAGAAGATTTCTTGAAAAGTTATCGGCAAAAAGTTAAAGGTAATGAAATGAAGCAGATAAATTTGCATTCGAAAAAAACACGTTTCTGTTTTTGGTCCCACAACAAAGGCAAAAACCTACTTGGCGCTTGATTAAAAGAAATTGATGCACGCAATATTTGGTTTTTAGTTTTTATGAAAAGCTTCCTTCATGGCAGGCGTAAACTCGGAAGTTTGCGATCGCTTTAGAATTTTTCTTTATGCATCTGGTACCTCGATGATGTTGCTTGGCCCAACTGAGTAGAACCAGGTTTCTCCAACTACCTGCAACGGCTGCCAAACAAGTGTGTGAGTAATTAATAAAAATAATTGCTTGCAGTATTTAAGGCCATCTTAAGATAACCAGACTCGAAAATTTAAAAAAGAAAATACTCATCTGCATTTAAAAAATATTTTCAATAATGACCCAGAAGTAGACCATATGGAATTATTAAGCGCCTCGGTTGTAAATCGACATAAATTAGCACTTTAGAAAGCAATAAATCTTAGAAATGCATAAAAGACAACATAAACGAGGGCACCCTTTAGTGAATCTTGCTGCGTCTTACCACATAATCGTCCATTTTACTATACAAATGTATGTACATAAATAGAAGCATAAATCACTAATTTAGAGAAGCATTTGAACCATTTATGAACGCATGCCAAGACAAATTAAACCGCAACGGCAAATAAGCTTAAATGCATTTCAACGCACATTCATTTGTATGCTTACAAGCCCATAAGTACATAATTTTGAAATGATGAATGTGCAACTCATTAAATGCTTGAATTACATACAAATAGCGTGTGACTTGAGTACTTAGTTATACACAAATGTAGGGTAAACATTAAAAATTTACTTCGGATATATTTTTATTTTATTTTTCCTTGAAAATCAATGCAGATGCATTCATGGCAAAAGTGGCCTCACCATAAAATTGTATGTTAATAAAAAAATAAAAACAAATTAGAAAAAATATTTTAATGCTTTTAACGCTGCAGGGAAGGGATCGTGTCGTTCACCAGATGGGCAGCGTATGCATAGACCGGCGCTCAGCCAGCGGCTATCAATACCGGCGGTTTGTTTAAGAGAGCGAGTAGACGACGAAAGTGCAATTAATCAGGGCTTAGCTGTAACAACTGTAGTGCATAGCCACAACTTTTATTGCATGCAACTGTTTATGAGTGGTTAAGCTTTTTTATTGGACTACCTTAGACCTTTTCGTATTAAATATGTCTTTGATTATTGCTGACACTTGGTCGCGGCGACTTTTTGTTGCTGCTCGTAAAATTTGATGGCTTATAGGAAGCAGCTAGCTTACAGTTACTCATTTATGCATGTACATTAGACTGCATCACTCGCCATCCAAAGAAAAATACTTATTATATTTAAAGACTTCCACCAAAATATTTCGGAAAAATATTAAGATTTACGTGAGTTGGGCCGTTTTGAAAATATCTCCAGAAATTGATTTTTTTATGAATAAAAATAGTTTTTTTAAGTATTTTTGAAAAAATCACCTCACATGACCAAACAGTTTAAGCTTACAAAATCTGCATACATATGTATATTAAACAATTTTTCAACGGAATCATTATAATGACATTTTTGATGCTGTTTTTGAAATTTTTTCAGAGATTGGTTTAAGAAAAACTTCAATAACTCAGCCAAAACTTTACCGATTTAGATCTATAAGGTATCTTTATTTGATGTATTATGGAACGAATTTCCGTCATCCCTTGTCAAATTTGGTTTGTCTCTGACGGAAATTCGTTCCATAATACATCATACACCCACCCTGTCGGAAACAACAACAACCAAAAAGGAAGTATCTTTATTTCTTTGCAAATAAACTCATTCAAAGTATGAAAGAGAAATGTAGGATGTGTTGATATTTTAAAAAGAAAAAATTGGTAGGCAAATGATTTTTTCTTGCAAAGGAATAAAAAACCGAATTTTTTTTGGTGATCCAGTCTAATGTACATATGTAAATACATAAATTTAAATCCAGCAGATGTATTTATGTTTGTATGTATATAGTACGTATGAACCCAATTTAAGATTTGATTGGGGTCAATTCTCCCGATTGACTGGTTGCATTTTTGATGGCTTAGCTTGTCTGCTAGTGCGTCAACATATCAATTGATAGGCGAGTGACACAAACAAAAAGCATCTTGCAATAAATGTATGTAACACAATTGGGGGATTAGGAGGGTCCGATAGCTATTAAGGTGGACACATGTCAAAGGAATTTGGTATATCGGGAGGTAATGGCCTGGGTTAACTCGTAGGACATTTTTTGAAGAAAATTTTTCAAAAGTTAAAATCATTTAATATAATAAGTTAAATAAATTTGTAACACCATGGGGTGTAAAACGAAATGGGCCCAAACCCGATTTATTACAGAAAATTTTTTAAGAGTGCCAGCTGTTCAGAAAATTAAAATTAATTAAATCAAATATTTTATATGGGTATCCACGAATGTTTTGAAATTAAACATCAAATTAATTAACAGTTAAATGAAGTATTTTAATACGGGTATCAAACGAGTGAGGTTGACGAAAGCTTTATTTGTAAACGTTTTGAGAGGGTTGCCACCTGTTGAGAATTTCATAATCAATTTCTAGTCAAAAGAAAGAGGTCTAAGAAAGCTNGAAGTATTTTAATACGGGTATCAAACGAGTGAGGTTGACGAAAGCTTTATATGTAAACGTTTTGAGAGGGTTGCCACCTGTTGAGAATTTCATAATCAATTTCTAGTCAAAAGAAAGAGGTCTAAGAAAGCTTTTTTTTCGAAACGATACCTGTTTTGAGAACTTCAACTAAGATTTATTTGTAAAATATTTTTCAAGAAGGTTGCCACCTGCTCGAGAAGTAAAAATCGATTTAATTAATAAGTTAGTTGAAATCTTTTAATATACATAGTAGTCAAGGAGTTTATGAAGGCTTTATTTGTTTAATTACTTTTATTAAGGGTGCTACTATGTATGAATGTCAAACGAGAGGGGTTTTATCTCTAAACTACTTTTGAAAAGAGAGGCTTATTTATAAATATTTTTCAGAGAGCTTCCACCAATTAAAAAGTTTCAGCTTAATTTAATGAAAGCGGAAATAAAATGTTGCAGTACGGATGTCAAACGGAAGAAGTGGAAAAAAACATTTTTTCCCAAAAATACTAGTGAATAGGGTTGCTACCTGTTTTAAAAGTCAAACTTGGGTAATTAAAAACTTTAGATTATTAGTTTGTTCAAACATTGCATCGAGATATCTTACATATTTAAACCAAATTATTATTAAAGTTTTTTTTAAGATAGTTGCCACATTTCCCAAATTTAAAAGTGATCCACCTTTAAATAAAATAAATAGAGCAAATTTGGCTTAGATGTGAAACTACGAAAGATAAGTTGTTATTCATATTTAAATGTCCGAATAAGGCACAAACGTGGATCATCTCCTGAAGTACAAATTTTATTTTAGAATACCCAGTAAAGCAAATAGCGAGACTGAATCGATTAAAATAACCATGAGCATCAAAGTAATCAGCATAATTCTATAGTATTCGGTGTCACGGATTAAGATGCAGCTTTGAAATTTGATACCATAACATGAAACCGCATATCACGCGGCTGGGACAGCGGTAAATGCTAGTAAATCTTAAATTTTAAAAAAGTTAAAAATATTTTTTAGAGATTCTTAGATTTTAAAATGTAT